GAGAGAGAGAGAGAGAGAGAGAGAGAGAGAGAAAAGGAAGGGCAGAGTTATTTCAAAAGCGGAATCTTTTATGCGCCCGTCATTTTTTACTTTCCCGCCGCATAGAGAAACATGATTTATATCTCCTTTAATTTGATTTCTTTACATTCAGATTACATTTGTGTTATCGGTTTATCATTTTCATCATTAGCGAAAAATCGTATATTTTGCATATCATATGTCAAGTTACTTCGCAATAAAAGTTTTATGCAATATCCTGTAAATATATAACTGATATCTGTAACATTATCAAATTTTCAAGCAGAAGCGAAGTCAATGAAATGTCTCGTCTCGTGACGAAAACACACTCGCGCGTTCGGGACCGGAATTGTAAGAGAACTTCGTAAGACGATCCTCACAAAGGGATTAAACAAGCATCGTTTCTGTCTGCCTCGGGATTTCTCCGTATCCGCGAGCATTGGAGGACCATCCCCGCTGCGCGTCTCCATTACCGGGGCTTCGTAGCATTTTGCTGGCATTTACCAAATTAAGAGCGGGGAGGCAGCACAAAAGAGAAACGGAGAATGGGGCGAGCGTTAGCGGATGGTCGCCAAGGGTAGTAGCTGGAGCCGAATCAAGAAATAATACTCCGCTGGTAATGATGCGACGTCCCTCTCGCAATCTGTACCGGTTGCGGGGAGCGGAGTAGATCGACCCTTTAGCTCTTACTCCCGTCGAGGCATCATCACAGAAACAATAACCCGATACTCGTGTGAACAGCGAAGAGGCGATCGATTTAACGACTTATTACGACTGCCCACGGCAAGAAACTCTTTGTGGAACTTTTAATTACGGCCATAAGAGAGATCTGAGAAAGGAAGAAAAAATAAGAACACGAGAAAGGAAAAATAAGAAAAAAAGGTATGATAACAGTTCGGCATGAAAAATATATAGATTTGCAAAGAAAAAGAAAGAACCGATAGCAATGCTAGCAATTTAGAATCGAGTGCTTGTTGTTTTAATTTACGAAAACTTATATTACATATATGTTATTTTTCGCAATAAGTATTTTCAAGCGTAATGCGTAGAGTTGGTAAGTTTCAAGCATGAAATAGCAAATTCATTAATTCTGATCTCTGTTGACATGATATTTTTCATTTCTTTAACAGCCATAATTGCCGACATCGTCAGTTTCGATTTATATTATATGTTTGCCTTCCTTGCTGTTTTCCTTCGTAGCTCAAAGGTTCTGAGTAAATTGCCTTCCTGCAAAGTGAAACATTTAGAGAGGATTCTGATCATCCTCTATAAAGCAAAGGCAGGTGAAGTAAATAAATTCGCGGTGTTCATAAACAATAACAGGAAAGAAAAATAGTAAATATATAAAAATACTAATAATTGCGAGTTTAAATAATTAATTACTCTCATCCCAATTATCATAATGCAAACGTTTCAAATGTTTTCAATCGCTTCCGTGAAACATCGGGGGGCATCCCGTATCGCCTATACGATGATAATTATTACACCGAAAGCCGATATCATGTGTAACGAGTAATCCCTCAAAGTTCGAATTATCCGATTATTCGATGACATCGGAAAATTCAATCAAACGGCACGATCTCGCGCTTCGCGCACGCCGTAGAATTTTAATCACGGCAATCGTAAAAATCCACAGCGTGGCACGTACATGCGTACGCAGCGTCGCGCGCCCGCTGATGTAATACCTCTGTCCTCGGGCTTTGATGAGGGAACGTCGCAACTTTTCCCGGGGATTTTCACGGCGTGACATTTTATTACGGAGCTGGGAAAAAGTTCTACTTACATAGCTCCGACGTATAGGGCGTCCCTCTTACTGTCCAGATAGAGCGTCCTGTAGTACAGCATCCCACAGCTGAATTCGCGCACGTGTTCTGAAAGCAAAAGTAAATAAGGGGATTAAACGCGACGTCGTATAGCGCGGCGAAATTCATTTTCCGTGCCGCGGAAACGCGGCCGCGCCGCGCGCTCGGTGGATCGTTAGATTTTCATTATGACTTTTATAATAACGCTCGGATAGTAAGGCGCCACCCGCACCGCCGGCTCGCCCGCCCGTCCGCTCGCCGACCCCGCCGGTAATCCGGCTAAAGTCAACTCTGACTTATCTCTATCGTAAACTCGTCGGAATTACACGGCACGTAACGCGCGCTCGACATTTTCGTTCCATCGGCCAGCGCGGATTCCGCGGAAATCCGCGCCGCGAAAACGCCGAAGATCAACTTGCGCGCGGAAGCCGCGAGTTAATATTAGCGAGCGCGCGAAGCGGCCGCGCGCGGCGAAGAACTTTCGCAATTGTCTCCGGTGCAAACGCGAGTTCGTGCTTCGAGGCAAATTCAGGAACAAAGAAAGCGTTTAACTCTTTTCGCAAGTCTCGCAAAGCTGCATGAAAATCTCGCCGTATAATTTGCCTCTTTAAAAGTGCGGCGAAAGAAAAACGAAAGTCACACACACATAACGTACTTCCGAGCGAGCGTGTTGGATTCCGTAGCGCTTAAGGACATTAAGTCAAGTCGATTATCATTTACGGTTATCGCTCATACGTCAGACTGCAGCGTATAAAATTCACAAATCCACTACTGTAGAAACGCCAGCGGGAAAAAGCGGTGGGCGGCCCTATCTCTCGCCATCCTCGCTTCTTCCTCTCCTTCGCTCTATCTCATCGACACTGATCTGCTTAACATATGAAAGAAAGCCGCCCCTTTCTAAATATACTCGTCCCACTCTGGACTAACAGAGCGCGAACAATACTATATTTTATACGGTATCAGGAGGGGCTGACGTCGAATGAAAGGGGTTCCCACTCTGGAACAGAGCTACTCTTCTTCCGCATCCCTCTTCCCCGCCCCACCGCCATCCCTCTTCCCAGACCCTTTCCTGTCCGCCTCTCTCCTCCGTATATCCAGTGCTAACCAACCCTTCTCGTCGCCGCGAGCGTGAGCGGATGCAAAAACGCGATCTCTCGCTTTATCTCTCGCGAAACGACCGACCGCCGTTACGCCGCGCGGTCCCTCTAATGTCAGACTTATTCAAAACCGATGCGCCACCGTATAGCTCTCGTTAGATCGGCACTGATAGACCACGGCTAGACTGCGTTTCTCGAGGGGTTTCGAAATTTACATTCATTCGTGACAACACGATTCCCCCCTCCACGCCGATTCCCGAAATGCAACGTGCTCGACGAGCGAACGCATTACGCGCGATAGTTATTCCGGTCGTATCGCCGTAATAAAACCGTATGCGTGCGGAAGACGACAGCTGCACTTGTCACTCGTTGAATTCGGGCTAATATAACTGTTGCGTCTTGCCAATCGCGGGCGCCTTCTATTTTTGGCCGGCGATAAAATTGGCCGCGCCACGGCGCGCAATTGTTAATGGAGTAAACGTCGTCGCGATGTAGGTTCTATTTATACAGTGCGAGACTCGTTTCCCTTCGCCACGACGTTATTTATTAAGCGTGCGAAGTGCAAAGCAAATACGTTCTGGATTGTGGTAATAATGTGTCTCATATATTCACTTTTGCGTTCATTCAGCAAAACCATTTTGTAAGACTGTACGCAATTCGTTTTGTCGACGAGTGTAATTTACACGAACCATCGTCACTGCACCTGATTAAATGAGGCGGGCGCAATTAAGAGCCTCTACAATTTTATAATTTCGCCGTTTCATTATTATTTGATAATTGTTACATTGTTTTCAATTGTGCATTGCGTGCCAATATTTGCTTAATTAATTATACGATACGTGTATAATATAAATAATTAATCGTTCAATATTGATGCGCCGGAGAAACATATGGCGCCGCGGCTCGAGTTCTCCGAGCAAATATTTACCATCGTGTAATTTACCGCCATTAAAAGACGTCCGCGCCGTGTACACTGTGCGCAAACACACCTACTTATCGCAAATTACTTGCAACGCACTCCTCGTAAGAACGTGCGCTGAACTCGACGATACAATCGCTAATCGGGGTTGTTAACGGTGCGTGATAACGCCTTAACGACCCTAGTTGCGGAAACCATCCATTTGAATTCGGTGGTTCCGGCAGTGGCCTTAATACCTTTACAGTATTTCTTAATTAAGCACGCCAAGGGTATCAGCGGATCCGGAATCGTTACGAATCTTGCTATCGCGGCCATTATATCTGATAAAAAAAAAGAAGGGCCATAAAAATGGAGGGTCGCGGAAGCAGAAACCATTGTCATCGCAGACATATAGGCGTATAAACGTATAAATTACGCTCCGTTCCGTTGATTCCAGAACCAAATGGTAATCCGGGGCTATCTTTTATGATTATATACCCGGCGTATATACGCACAAGAATCGCTTATGAACGCCTCATGAAAATAAAAGTCAGTAACTAAGCTGCTCATCAAACTAAACGAGAAGCTAGAAATTATTCGGCAACTGAGAATAAACATCGTTTCATATTCGACGTTCATTCCATAGGTAAATTTAGAATATCGGACATTTTTAGCCGAGTTCTATCGTCAGAACCGTATTTAAATCCTACCGACTTTATGGATCTCAATATGTAACGAGAGGACGATTCGCTCTTTAAATCCTCGCTGTGTACGTTCGTGTCATGCTCCAATTCCGTGGTCTTGTGTACATGTTTTTGCATCTAAATGCATTTTCCCTTAAAGCCTTTAATCGCTATTTGCAGTACATCCGGCTTCGATTCAAGCAATAAATAATCCGACTTTCTGGAAAAACTCGTTAGGTACATCCTGTGACGTTATTTTTCTCCATATCTCATCAACGGATTCTAATTTTTTTTTCTTTTAATACACAGTCAGAAGACACGCGCCACTATTAAAAATTTTTAATCAATCCTCTTCATATCCGAGTTACATATGTAGCATTCAATCCTAATTTGACACAAGAGCTAAAATACATAATAATATTTATCGAAGATTAAAGGATCGTAAAAATATTTTACATAGTTTACAGAAGTATTTTATCTTGAATATTTTTCGGTAATCCTCAAATGTATAAGTTACTCGTTTCGATGGTATCTGAAATTCGCAGCATTTCACGAACACACCGAGATTTAAAATTCGAGAGCGCATAAAGAAGAAAGCGCACCGCGTCGATGCTCGAATGTAAATCGCGGCAATGGAGGAGCGAGATTATGAGTCGTGGAACAATGCCACGCTGAATTGAATCGCCATTGGACGTGGTAGACGAGGACGGTGAGAATCAGTGTGGTTGGGTGCGAGCGACCGGGGATTTTTAGGAATTTTTATTACTTTCGCTGAAATGGCTTTTGAGATCGTTTTCGCTCCTTCACACATAGGACTTGGCATCAATTTTAGTCGATGTTTAGTAAACCCGCATGTGCACATAGTACACGCTCGTGTTCGCGCGAGAAAGTCGGGGTCGCGACGATAAAAATCGTGAGCTGACAGCATACTCCGACCAGCGTCGTAAAAAGCCGGTGGTTATTTTCGGAGAATCCGCGCCGTAGATTCTAGCTCGTCGCGCGCAATTTTCGACGAGATCAATGTTAATACGAAGCCACACAATGCATCCTCCGCGTTCACAGCTGATCTTTACGACGGATTTATACGACGCGTCTTATCGGCAACCGAACGAATCGCTAGGACACGTGCGGAACGAATATTTTCCATCTCTCTTTCTCTCTGTCGCGCGCACGCGGATATACGAAACCATAAAGAGAGCCAGTTGCAATTGAATAAAGTTAGGCCGGTGCGCGGGCCCCAACTCGACCCGCACAATGGTAGATTAGGCGTGCGATCATTTTTTTACATTCGTCTGGCTTCGTTCCAGCTGACACCGGCATATGGCCGCCAAAGATTACGAGGGTACCGCCACCGCCGCCGCCGCAGCCGCGCGGGCCGTGTCCAATTTCCAACGTTATTATTATTTTAATCCCTTGAGCCCTGGGGCAAGGTGCCACGCCGTACCCGCGGCGGATAGCGAAAATATTCTCCACCGCGGTAATTTCAATTGCAAAAGCGCCCTTTTTAGCTTACCACAATCCATCTCGCTGCGCACCGCACTGACTTTGAAAAATGAGATACATTCTGCACGGTGCATGGCGGTGTGAGCAATCAAATAGATTTGCGGATAATATGCAAAGAAACGTATTATGTCGAGAACTTTTGTTTGAGATTAACAAATTGCCCGGTTATAATAACAGTAAGAGATACATTGCGACTCTTTCGAGACTAATTCGTATAAACCGTCGCGAATTAAGCGAGTCATTTTTAACGCACGTCTTCTTTGAGTAATGAAAGAGTAAATGTACTTTCGTCCAAGATTATTCACTTTTCGAAACGCGCCGGCAAACCGAATCAATCCTGTTTCCGATCGTGAGAGTTGCAGATCGCAACGAAATTCAGTGCAAGGTAATACGATATAGGAAGAGAGAGAGAGAGAAAGAGAAGCAGCGGGGGGCGGAGGGAGGGAGGAGAGATCGAATGTCTCTGGGGTCTCGATTCGCTATCGCTCTTCGGTCAAGGCGCGATCATCGCGTGGGATAGGACCTGCTGACGCGTTTCGAGGACCTTTTATCCGGTGCGAAACGCGTCTTCTATCCTTCGTGTCTGTCAGGAGTTGATTCAGGCGAGGAGGGTCAAACCCGGGGCGTGTGTATGCGCACATACTCGACCACCTCGGCCGCGGCTCTTGACAGAATTGACATGTTTGGAACTCGTCTACTCCGCTTGCGGATTCGCCGGACCTCGACACGACAATACACTCTTCTCAAAACCGAAAGTCCTCGCGCGCGCGCGCGCGCAAACGCTGCCGGGCATTGTGCAAACTTTCTGGACTCCCGGGAGTATCGATTATAGCGCGCGACCGATACTTATCGTTTGTACCGTTAATCGAATTCGCAAGAACAGTCGCG